GGCTTTCCTCGCACAAAGGGATTCCATCGGTTCTCAGCAAACTCCCCTTGTTTTCTTTAGGGGGGATGCTGCGGTCTGAGGGGCGGGGAGGAAACTATTGTCTTGGTTTATCCAAGTCTAGCCTGTTTTACAAAAAGCGCTCCGATGTGGAATCGCTTTCCAATCCAATAAAAGTGAAAGGGGGCCATCTGCTCGCATGGCTGAAGGGTATTAATGGTTTCTATGGGATTCACCGTGGAATGCAGATACAGGCATTATGGCAAGTGTGGTGGCAGCAGATTGAAATAATAGATCCCTTTGTGTCGGAGGGGAGGGCGCAGTGGGCTGCATTCTTACTAAATGTGTAATGGTGCGGGCATATTTCTAGCAAAAAGCGTCTATCGTGTATATGGTCCAGTTTTTATACAAAACAGCTTCTTTTTAATGCATCGTTTGGTCAGTGTATTTATTACTCGACAACATCTTCACATTTAAATTTTTTTTACATGGGTGTTGTCTGCTGCCAAGTAGACAATTTGTTCCTTGGGGTGAGGTCACAGCAGTGAAGTCTGTCTCCTCTGGATGTCTGTTAAGAATGTAGATTTTAATGCTCTGTAAACAAAGATGTTAACATAGGAAACAAGTTGTGTGAGAGTTTAGTCTCTGTAGGAAGCTACAATGTTACGCAGATAAACTAAAACATAGGTGACAGCCAGAACTAACTCTGCAAACTGTTCAAAAAGTATTAAGCTCATGTTTTCACTTGTGCAAAACCAGCTTTCGACTTGGATTAAGCCTTGTTTGGTCTAGGAGATATTTAGGAATGTGCCTTCTCAAAACAAGGTCTCTTCCCTAAAACTGCTGGTGAGAAACAGCATTGCTAGTGTTCCTCCTGGCTGGAAGTGACTGCCCTTATCTCCAGACAGCTGGGCACAGGCTGACGTTGTCCCAAAGCTCTTTGGAGATGTTAGCAGATGTTATACCATGCAGGAAGTCATCACTTGATTGTCAGTGTTTCCCTGGGCAAGGCTTTGGACTCAAGTATATTTATAGTCTCTGAAGGAGAGCAGGTGTCTTCATGAGATAACGTGAAAACTGAAATGCCCGCTTCTATTCAAAGTTTGGGAATTCAGAGTCTCTGGCACTCTGGGGACAGAAGTTTGAAACTGAAGAGTTCAAGATACTGCCTTAACTTCAGTTTCTGTTTTTTTGAGTGCTAAGCCAATTTAATATAGTGTGAAGTTCTGTGCAGAAGTATTGACTTCAGTTTTAGAGAATCTAATCTATTCTGATTCATTGCTGAATTCAGGTAGATTGCTTGACTTAAGGCTGACTTCAAGGATATCACATGCTTAACTGGTGCACTTCAAGGCACATCTACCTCTATTTAAAACCGATTAACCTTTATGAAGGCTTTTAAGTGGACCTGGCTTTGTGCATATCCCATAGTCATTACCCAGCTCTTCCCTGTACTGTAGAGAGGGGTCATTCAGGAGCTCAGCTTCTGGCCGGTCTGTGTGTGCAGTACAGTCAGAACTGGATCCATTTAGCCTCTTAAGGTGTAGCTTATGTGTAAGAATTGCAAATAATGGCCTGTGGAAACACTAGACTAAATCCACTCATGACATAACTGGTGCATGCTAGTGTGGTTGAGAACTAAATCTGTTCCAGTATTGTTCTTCTGAAAGTGAAATTAAATTCATAGAACACTGAAGTTGAAGCATCCTGTTGTACTTTTCATTGTAAAAAATGAACAGTTTTTCACTAAACCATTACATTCTTGCACTGGAAACATACATACATGGATTTGGGATACTTCAGGTACCTTACTGTTCTGACATAGCATTGAACTTTTTACTCGATGGAGCAGTTGTATACTTCAATATTTTAAAAGAAAGTGAACAAACATTTGAACTTACATTTCTGAAAGCTGCCTGCTTTGGAGAGACTGTTTAACTTGGATGTACTGAATGTTAATTTAATTCTTCTGAACAAAGACATTATTTTGCTTGTGTGCTGATGACTATACTACATAAAATAAACCTAAAGGTTCAGTGAGTTCTTTCCTTTGGGACAAAACAAGCACCACAATTAGCAAGAAAGTTATTTACTGTGGCGTTGCCAGCTACTTTGGCAGCAAGCAGCAGATCCTGAGCGTATGACAAGACTAACTGGTCAGCTCCTGGCTAACATAAGGTTTTTCTGAAGTAAACATGGATGTTCAACCTTGCAAACTATGTGACTGGTGTTAAAGAATCTCCTAGGATAAAAGCAAAGTGTAGTCCAGTTGCGTGTGTATATCTTAGACCTCATTTGCTCAGGCTATAAGTAGCTTATTCATTTATGTGGCTCTTCATACATCTAGGACATATAGATACACTGATTCTTCACTCCCTAACTTGGTGATAAAGTATATAGTAAAATACATATGATATATTCAAAGAGTCTTCTATTTAAGATGTTTTCAATTTATTATCAGCTGCTAAACATTCTGTAGCTCTTTGCTTCTAAAAAGATTCATAGTCTTCAGTATGCAGTATTTCTGTAAAACCTAGTGGAACCTCTTTGGATGTCTGTTTAATCGTGTAAACTTCTTTGGTCATAGCTGTGTAACTTCCTTCCAGAATGATCTCCAAGTATTTTTTTGGGAGAAGAACAAATTAATTGAGGAGTTCTTTGAATTTAAAATTAGAGCCAATATAAGCTATGGGTGTCAAACTGAAGTTGATAGGGAAGTTAAGGAATAATGCATCAAAGGAGTGTTTTGCTGGATTAAAAAAAAAAACAGAAAAATTCTTCTGGAGTAGGAGTGATCCAAGGAATGGCTTTCTAGGAGTCTAAAGAAAACACTCCCTATTTCATAGGTGCCATAGTAGTGAGAGCTGCTGATTAGGAATGCTTATACTTTGGGCAAATCCAAAATAGCTTAAGAGTAAGCTGCAAAAATATTAATACTGTGTGAACATAAGCATGCAGCTGTGTGACCAGTATGAAAGGAAAAATCGTTCCTCTGCAAACAAATTGTCTTAGTTGTACCTTTAAAATGCAAGAAGTTACCAATCAATGTTTAGTCTTAAGTTCTGTTTTTGAACTAATTCAAGCTGCTCCCATGTAGCATTCATGGCATATCATCTGTTATGCCTTAAATGAATTTTTGCTGTTGATTAAGACTATCTCCGTCCAGCAAAAGGTGGAGTCTTTGCCAGCTAATATGAGGGTGTAGGCAGCAATGACTAACTCGATTTGTGTTCATGCTCATAACTTTTTTCTCAAGGGAGATCTGTTGAACCAGTTGGAGAAGTAAATGCTTGCAGCTCCTATATGTACCTCACTAGCTTTACAAGTATTCTCTCCAGCTGTGGTCTGTGGACCCAAAAGGCACTGTGGTTGATCACGAAGGAGTCAATAAGAAATAAACAAGAAATTAAGCCCCCTGATAGGTGTGTAGGCATGTGGGTTGTCTGCAAATGGTAAGACTAACTCTTTTTTCACTGTAGTCAAGCTAAAAGAGCTTATTGCTGGCTTCTGATTCAAGTACCTGCTTCATCTTCAATCAGGATTTACACCCACCGTGATCTGTGTGTTCTTGATCATGTTCAGCAATACGTTGAGAAAGATGGCATGATCTGTATAGTTCACAAAATGACAATAAATGTGCATATAATGGTTTCTGAGGCTAGAACAGGAGGTGGCAAAAAAGATGTTTTTCACAAGCGCTTGATTTCATATTGTCTTGACAAGGAGCTCAGACGTAGCATCAGTCTGTATGCTACCGAACTTGCCGTAAAGGACTTGTCTACATCGCAGTTTTGTAAGATTGCTAATCAGTCTTCTTTCTCTGGTCAGGATGTTGACAATGCCTCTCTGGCACGTCTTGATCTTGAGCGCAAAGTTGAGTCCCTGCAAGAGGAGATTGTCTTCTTGAAGAAGCTTCATGATGAGGTAAGTCGAGTAATGACGTCTGTGATTAGATGTTGGCAGTCTAGCGAACAAGTAAGCTCTTCACTGGTTCTGGCGCAGAGTCCCCACCTGTGTATGTTTTGTATGTTGTCATGTAATAACACTGAGTGTCTGCTTCTCTCTAAGGAAATCCGAGAACTGCAGGCCCAACTCCAGGAACAGCACATCCAAATTGATATGGATGTTTCTAAGCCTGATCTTACTGCTGCCCTGCGTGACGTGCGCCAGCAGTACGAAAGTGTTGCTGCTAAGAATCTTCAGGAAGCTGAAGAGTGGTACAAGTCCAAAGTAAGCAAAATCTGTTCAGATGCATAAGGCACCCAAACTAACTGTACTTAACAGCTTTGCTGTAGCACTTGCTGTTCCCTCCACTGGACACAAACACAGCCATGGCACAGGTCTTCTTTAAACCCCCAGTCCTAGAAAAGTACAGCTGAAAACATGGCTTTGTGCCATAAGCACAGAATCAAATAATGGGTTCATACTTGGATTTTTTTCCTGTCCTTGTACTTGGAAGCAGATGTTGGATGAAATACTGTGAATTAATGTGTGGGGAAAAAAATGATTAAAAGATAGGAAATGTACAGGGTCAGAAACAAATATGAAAGGTTTAACTATGAATTCCAATTTAACAATTAGAAATAGGACATTTTAAAAGTAATGCTAATATTTAAATGTTGCAGGTGTTAGGACTTGTAATGACTTCAGTTGCCCTTAAATGCTGTGTCCAAAAAAAGTCTGTTTATACCATTTCTGTTGAAGTGTTACACTAACCAAACTGGGGATTTCCAGTTTGCAGATCTCTCCGAAGCTGCTAATAGGAACAATGATGCCCTGCGCCAGGCCAAACAAGAAGCTAATGAATACCGCAGACAGATTCAGTCCCTCACCTGCGAAGTTGATGCCCTTAAGGGAAGCGTAAGTAGAAGACAGCAGTTGTTGGGACATTCTTCCCCTTGCAGCTCTAAGCACTGCACTGCAGTTTAACTGTTCAGATGTAGGTGTGAATGCAGCTGATCTCCCATGCAGTACAGCAGCATATTGTTACTTTTTGAAGGGGGTGATACGGGCTCAATTTGTCTGCATGCAATACAGTGCACTGGTTAGATTGATATACTGAACTAGTGTTACTTAAGATATAAGTAATGAGTTCATTCCCTTGCTACAGTATTCACTGTTTGTGTAACACTTTCTGCAAGTGTTTATGGCTTGTCTGTCAGGTACAGCTGACACTCTACAAAAAGCCGGAGGAGCAGTGGAAAGGAGGTGCAAATATTGCTGTTGCTAGAGCCTGACTGCCTTAAAGGCATCCTGACTTGTACTGCATGGGTTGGACTTGATGTGAGGGATTGCTTTGCCACCTGGTAGAACAAATACATCGCACACCTCAGATCAAGCAGCAGGAGATGACAGTGCAGGGGAAGATAAGGAAATGACAAATTTGGCACAAGTCTGGGCACTTTCAGAAAGGATGCTAATGTAACTCAACTTGCCTTTTTAAAAAATCAAGGGCTTTGAGAGTAGGGAAGAGTGTCCAAACTGCAGCAGTGCTTGATTTCATCATTCTCTTCCAGAATGAATCCCTGGAGCGCCAGATGCATGAAATGGAGGAGAATTTTGCTGTTGAAGCTGCTAACTACCAAGACACTATTGGCCGTCTGCAGGATGAGATTCAGAACATGAAGGAAGAAATGGCTCGCCATCTCCGCGAGTACCAGGACCTGCTGAATGTAAAGATGGCTCTTGATATTGAGATTGCCACCTACAGAAAACTGCTGGAGGGTGAAGAGAGCAGGTAAAAATCACATGCAGACACTTTTCTAAACAGCAATTGCTAGAAGACCATCTGTACCCATGTCTGACTTTATCCATTTCTTTTTTTCCTTCAGGATTAACATGCCTATTCCAACCTTTGCTTCTTTGAACCTGAGAGGTAAGTTGTTTGTTACTTCAGTTCACACAGCTGTTCTATCATTAGCAAAAGGGTTCTAGATAGTTTATTTTACTCTAGTATTTGAACTTGTATAAATGCAGTTGCGTGTGAATGTTTTTCTTAGATAGAACTACAATATTTGCAAATACGTAACTTTGGATAGGAGGAGCTACTTTGTTCCTGGGCATGGATATTTTTAGATGTCAATACATAGTGGGTGATTGGTTTAGATGCCTGCTGAGGGTGCTTTAATGGGAATAGGGTAGCTTATCATTCAGAGCGGGAGACTTTTTCATATACTAAATCAGGATTCTGAAAGTAGACACTAAAATCTGTTGTACCTCGTTTCTTTGAGGAAGCAGTTAATCTATACTATTGGCAATAATACATTTTCTTCTGCAGAAACCAACATCGAGTCTCAGCCAATGGTTGACACTCACTCGAAGAGGACACTTCTAATTAAAACCGTCGAAACTAGAGATGGACAGGTTGGTTGTGACTTGGATTTTATTTCTATCCCAGATGGTTACCTTAAAATACTGTAAGTTTGTCTACTGGTCAGTGCAGCCTCTGTATATGGTAGTAAGTGTTGAGTAGAACAGCATCTGACAGTCTAAGCTGCATGGCTGAACATATGAGCTAACAGGCTCCTGGGGAAATGATCACAACATTCATCTGATAGTAAACCTTAAGTGGCTGACAGTGTCAATTTAAGTTCAGCTGAGTTAGCAAGTTCTCAAATGATTTCTCATATCACCTGAGAAAAACATGTGTCAGTAAACAGGTATTTGTTTGGGATAAAATACTGTTTTCAGGCTAAGCTGATGAAGCTTAAATGGTTTCTGCACACTATTTACGAACTAGAACTTCTCATTTACAAGTGAGAGCTAATACCCATTTGTTCACATTTCTGTGGTCCTAGATGCTCCAATTCTAACTCTAAAAACACCAACAATCTTACTACTAAAACTTAATGCAAGTGTGTCTGTTTTTCAACAGGTTATTAATGAAACTTCCCAGCATCATGATGACTTGGAGTAAAGTCATGTGAAGATGAAGTGAAGATGCATACTTATTAATGCAGGAGAAATTCTTACCAGCAAGATTTAAAAAGTCCATGTCTTAAAGGAAGAAACAGCTTTCAAGTGCCTTTCTGCAGTTTTTCCATGAGCGCAAGATTATTATGCTAGGAAATAGGTCTTAGATCTTGCAAACTGACTCTCCCTGAAGGATTAGAGTTTACAATGGAGTCTAGTTTACAAATAGCAATATCTTGTGCTGCAATACTGTTTTTAAGTATCTGAATTCAATAAAACTGCTTTTTTCCAGCGCAGTATGAGCAACCTGTCGCTACTTCAATAAATCTTTGGAAAATGGCTCTTGATGTGTTCTAATTTGTTAACTTCATGACTTTCTAGAAAGCCATAACAATGTAATGCTGGAATTATACGGTTGACATCTCCAGTACTGGTTGTATGGAATGCTGTTTTTTTCAGTTTAACTAGATAAACTGTCTTACTCATTTACTGCTTAGGTTTTGGAACCAACTAAAATGGACTATAACTGGCAGATGCATACTGTATTATGATATTTCTTACAACTTGAATAAAATAAGATACTTCAAGCTAACAAAAAATAATCTTGCTTCCATATACTATTTAGCCTAGTTACTGAGAGCTAAGAATGCCCAAAATACCTTAAAACTTGTCTCTGTAAAACATAGTAGTTAAGCAGCTGTGACATAGTTCACACAAGCCCTTATCTGAGACAGCACCTTTGCAAAGTTAAGAGCTGACTTGATGCATTGACTTCGTTTTCCAGGAAAGACTAGTTCCCAAAGGCTTGTCTGTATTACAGAAGCTAAATTAAGGCTTCAGATGGAGAGAGTTAGGAGAGGTATTTAAAGGGAATGCACAGAAAGAATAATTTGTCTTACTAGTGACTTGATTCCAGCATTTAAGCCCCTTTAAAAAAGGAGAGCCACCATGCTCAGTGTTATCTGGTGAACATCAGCCTAAGTGCAGCAGAATGGGGAAAACCCATCTGGCCTGCTATAGTCTTCTGGGAGGCAGAAGTGAAAGGTTGAAGTCTTCTGTGAACACTTAAAAGTTTTATTTTCTGCAGAACAAGATACTTCTCAAATTAAACCACAGTCACAACCTCAGCAGAGCTCTTAATCTGCAAAGGTAGCTACTCTGTTCTGTGTCACTGCTGTAAAGCCTGATTCCTGTAGGCTTTCACTCAGATACAATTCTTGTGGAATGGGTAAATGCAAACTGGAGTTAAGTATGAACTGCATTTAGTGCTTATTCAAGATAATGGTCATTCTGTGTTGTATGGACACAAGCACTTGGGAACTGATCTTGTAAGAAAAACTTAGTGGTTTTCCTACAGATAACTTATTGTTATCCCCATCTGATAGGGGTGAAAAAAAAATCACTTTTTTTCACCCCTATCAGTTCTTCCCTTTGCTCCAGTGTGACTAACCAGGTGCAGTGCAGGCACTGGAGTGTGGGGGGCAGTAGTTCCCTTTTTTTTCATCCTGTTCTCTGCAGCACCAGGTTAGATCTGCAGCCACGATGCTAAAGAAGGGAGGTGGGCAGGGCCTGGCATGCTGAAATCCTCTACAGCTCAGACACATAGGTATTCTGCAACCTGGAGGCAGGGGCCAAGGGGTGATTGCAGTTTCCTTCTTTTAACCTTCCAGGGAGAAGTTCTGGATCTGTTCTTCACAGCAGAAAAGCACCTAATTTTTCAAACGAGGCATGACAATGCTGTTCCTACCCTGCTTTCCTCTAGTAAGTGTTCACAGAGGACTTCAATCTCTCACTTCCCCAACTGGCAGGCCAGAGGGGAGTTTTCCCAATCACACCGCACTTGGGCTGATGTTCAGCAAAGCACACAAATCCATCAGGCTGGGATATGTGTCTGTCTGGCTTGGTGCTTTAGGTGCTTGCCTGAGAGAAAAGTCCTGCAGCTGATCCTGTGTTTGATCTGGAGACTCTTCCACGTCAAAGGGCCAAAAGTGACTCTGAGGAGAGTGCCTGGACGCATGCCTCAGCCGCTGCTTGCTTCAAAGTGGAACAGATTCAGCCTGGTCTCCAGTTTGGCAAATAGGATAGCCTCATTAAAAACTGGAAGACTTAACCAAGCCTCTTTCATGCTGCAGAGGTTACAAACACCAGGTTTTCTACTATGTGTCAACATCCAGAATAACAAAAAAAGCACAAATGAGCTTGCATGGGAGATGTTTTCTGTGACAGTGACAGCTCTGGGTGTGCAATAGCTGATTTTGAATGCTTAATAGGCACAGGTTTCTACAACCTTTCACGATAAGAGTGGGAAAAGGTCCTGATGTCGTGCTTATTGGAGACCACTGAAGTATTTTTTCTGGATCTGTGCACTGGAAAGGTTGAACCAGTGCTTAATGTAATTTCTTGTAGCTGAAGCACTGTGGGAGCCCTGGACGGTGGCATCCAGCAGCATGGGGGCATCCCCTGGGCAGGGAGAGCCAGCTCCATTGGGGGATGGTGGGGACCGTTGATGGCTCTGGACAGAGACCCGCAGCACAGCATGCTTTCTGAAATGCACGTTGACCACTGGAGGTTACCTTAATTGTGATAGTCTTGTAGATGTTACTTTTTTCTCTGCTGCCAGCTACCCAGCATGCTGCTTTCTGTCACCTTTGATTGCTTCACCCAGTGGATGAAAGAAGTGACTGTATCCAGCACTGACAGTGCAGCAATGGAGTTATTCCTGGCTCTTTCATGTTCGGGGTTATTCAAAGCACAGAGAAGCATGTGACAGAGCTTTCAATACTTGGAATAAATAGAAATATAAATAAAAACAAATAAAAATAAAACCTAGTTACCAAGGGGCTAGGAAGATTGCAGGAATCCTCCAAAGCCTGCGCCTTGTGAGTGCAAGAGTACTCGTGGTCGAAAGGAGAGCAGATGATGACTGTGTAAACTTCTCAGTGTTTGATCTAGGTGTGCCAGCCTTACACTTCTATATAATCACCAAAAGCTGCTCAGTGCTGAGCCAGCATCTGACCCCAGAGCTCTGTTTCACATCCTAATAACTGCAGGCAACTAACAGCGGCGGGCCCCAGCCATACCGAGCTGGGCAGGCCCCACGGGCAGCTGGGCACTTGTCCGAACCTCCAACGAGCACTGTGAAGCTGCAGGTGCTGACCAGCAGCACTCAAAGGCTGGATTTCCTCACTTGCTGAGGGACTGGTGCCCATGGCAGTCACCAGGTCCTTGTACAGTGAGTAACAGAGGTTACTGCTACAGGCAACACTGTTTTTTTTTTTGGTAAATTCCTTTCCCTTCCCTTTCCTCTTCCTCTCCTCTCCTCTCCTCTCCTCTCCTCTCCTCTCCTCTCCTCTTTCTTCATCTCTCTGTCTGTCTAATATTTCAGTACTGAGCATACTTTTTGGCCCACAAAGAGTCCTCACAGTCCTGGCCCAACCAAAGCTCTTGTCTTCTCTCTTCCCCTCCCCATGACAGCTTTTTATCTGTTACATCTGCTAATGACCCTGGTGTTTTCACTGCTGGCATACTGTGCTCAGTTGGAACATCTGTATCAGACTGCTCCGAGGTCCTGAAAGCTTGGTTTACATGTGGGGTTTAAAGACCTTGGGGCACTTTGGATGAGGCCTGAAGGCAGTTCTGTGGAAAGCCGTCCAGCAGCAGCGGTGGTGGCAGGGTGGGGGCATGGCTGTGCCTCCGGCTGCAGGGGGCTGCCACACAGCGCCAAGCTGCCCCGCAGGCTGCCCGGTGGCTGGGCACCTCCTGCAAAGCCACGAAAACACCCAAGGAACCTTGGGAGACCTCCAGAAACTGCTCATCCTAGCCTGGTGTGAAACCTCCAAAATTGGGTCTGAGCCAAATCTTCTGCATGCCAGGCAGGGTGCCCAGTGTTGCCTCTGGTTAGAGCACTTACGGGGCTTGTGCTCAAAGTCCTATTTGCAGGTGCAAAAATCCCACAAGAGAGTGGAATCACCCAGTGTGGGTCCCTGAGCACTTTGGGAATGGGATGTCCTCCCATGAGTCAATTAATACGTATCCCAGAGATTCTCAATCACTCTGAGGCACCCATGGAGCATGGAGAAACATTTGGCTGACGTCCCTGTCACAGGGTTGCTGGTGGTGGTCACCAGAGATCCGTGCTGTGTGGAGATCACGTCCTGCTGGGGCACACCAGGCGCTGGGAGGCTCCTGCTCCTGGCCAGGTTGCCCAGGGGTTATAAATTCCCACACTAGGAGAGGATGAGCAGCTGAGTGGCTGGATAGAGAAACTCCCTGGTGCCCTAACAGCAGGTAAGCATCAGCGATTTTAATTGCAAATCCTTCCAAAGGGGGAGGGAAGGGAAGCCCGGATATTGCTGAAAATTTTAAAGTAATTTGCAAACAATAATCTGCTCTAACAGACTTTTGCTTGAGTGCAGTCATGCATGCAGAATTAGGAAGTGCCAAAAATAAAATTACATCATCAATTTTTTTGAGTGCAGTAATGCATGCAGAATTAGGAAATGCCAAAAATAAAATTACATCATCAATTTTTATTTGCTCCTCTGTGCTCATATGTACTGCTACAGATTTCAGCTGCAAGTTCATGGACCTTGTCCCATACAGCACGGCAAGAACCACCACTCACTGCTAGAGTATCTTCAGTCCTTCTGCGTGTGTGTTCCCCCAGTTTATTTATCTGCTTCAAAGAGTCTAAATTTTTAATTTCCTCTAGGATAGTCTTTGCTGCTCTTCGTGGTTCTTGTTAACACCCCTGTGAGAGGTGGCGTGTTACACACCCTGTTTCACACGTAGGGAGCAGTCAAGCTCAGAAGTGGAAGCTAACCTCAGGGGTCTGGTGTGAGGTCGATTAGCACTCTATACTTCAAAGGCACTTCGTGATTTCAGGTCCAGGTACTTTCCTAGTCTGGATCTCAGATCAAGTTCCCACAAAATGAAGTTCAGACTTCCAGGGGTACCAATGCAAGGCATGGTTCAAGTGAAATTCCCAGCCTCATCCAGGAAAGCTGTAGCACAAGCAGGAAAAAAAATCCAGTTCTCCAGCACGGAGAATTGTAGGACCCTTCTCTCTCTGCAGCATATTGCATCCTTCATTGCACAGTTCCCTTCTTCTGCAATAAGGGCAGCAACGCTTTTGCTAACAGGCCCCTCACAACACAGTCCAAGGTCATTCCCCAGGCCCATGAACTGGCCAGAGGTAAAAACTGCTTATGGGCGTCAGTCTGCAGTAACCAAACTCTTTGCTTCAGAAAAGGGCAAGTCTGCAGCGGCCGAATCTCTGCATAGTGGTATGTAATAGTTTCCATACAAACTTCTCGGCCGGACATTTTCTGCCTGCTTCTTTTTCAGAGATGTGTTTCAGCTGTCTCCCTGTGGTGGGTTACATGAACTGCAAGAGGAAGACAGCCTGTGTGGAGTGTTTCTCCTTGACGTGGAGCGTAGCTTGCAGGATGGTGCAGCTGCGAAGGGGAGAGATGCAGCTTTCTCCAAGAATTGCCCTGCACTTACTCTCTGCTACTGCCTGTGATCCTGAACTCCAGGAACATGTCTCAGACTTGGCGGACACCAAATAAGAACATGTTAAGGATGGAGAAT